CAATTTTACATTACAACAACATAAGTTCAAAGAAACATCTAATATTCAAAAAAGTTCAAGAGATGGTTCTAACAACAATAACCACAAACAGCTGAACCAAACGGATCAAAATGTGAGAGCCCAAACAAACTGATTATAGACAATTGACTGCCTATCTGTATACACACTGGGTATGTTTGGCTAAACAAATTGGATGGCTATTGATGATTCGTGACATGTAATTAATCTGTCCCTCTTCTTTTGCCCTATTTGATTATGACAATGCATGAATGAGGATTAGATGGGTTTCTTTCAATGTTCAATGTTTTTATTGTTTTTTTATATCCATCGCTTAACATTTTTAAACCATATATATTAGCCAGTTCAGGGCAGTCATTTGCCATTTTTTTTCTTGATTCTTTAAACAATATATTAGACATTTTTATGTTTTTATTTTTCAAAAAGTTAAATTGACAAGTTTAAATACAGTAAAGATGACTTGGTACTGCATGAATATGACAAATAGAGAGTATGAGATGTTACCTCCGGTCCAAAAATCTTGTCTCAATTACTATTTTGATTTTTCGATAGTTTTTTATTTGTGCGTTTTCATTTATTATAACCTCCGTCCCAAAAAGAGTCATATCTTATTGTTTACGAGGTTTAATTTGACTGAAGCTATTCTTAATTCAATTTATTTGAAAATTGGTAAGGAATTAAAAAAATTATATTTTTAAAAACTACATCAAAAGTTCTATAAAACAAGAGGTGATAAGATCATATTATTTTCTCAAATAAATAGAGAAAATGGGACAAGATTGTGAATTTGTAATTAAAATTTGACCCTGTAAATAGTAAACAAACAACTTAAATTGGGATGGAGAGTGTTTAATTTGATAAAATATATTATTGTCATATCTCGTTGTATATAAATTTGAATGTAGTTTTGGCGCCTACCGTAAGCAACAATGATCAGACCACATTGCTGACATTCGCTAAGTTCGTGTTTGAGTTGTGCACAAATCTCATTAACAATAAAAAAGCTAATATATCTTGAATGCCAATCTAATACTCAACAGTTTATCTTGAATTGCTGTGTTTGTGTTTGTCCATCAATTACTTGGCTATGAAATCTACAATGACTAATTTATAGTGTCTTCATTCCATGCACTATATTACTATAATTATCAACTATTCAACTAGGCGAAAAAAAATACTCCCTCCCTCTTCTTCTTTTTTCCTGTCCCAATTAGTTGTCCCCATTTTGACCAAGTCATGAAAATAAATCAAGTGAAAAGCTGTGTGATTGAGCTGTATGCAAAAGAGAGAAGCATCAAATATCGTGACGGAGGCGTAAAAATAAGACATTCCACAGTTTTTAATAAGATGTAAGTTGTGTCGTGGGAAATAATATTAACCACACTAACATTTCTAAAAGGAAAGAGGGAGATAACTTGAGAGGGACAAAAGAAAGAAAAAAGGAAGACGAAAAAGTCATTAGAAAACAACCAAATTTACAGTATATCACACACCGAGGAATATACAAGTACAATTGTACAAGGCACAACATAAACCAAACTTACAAATGATTCACTCACCACGGATTTAGCAATATTTTCAATCCTTATTTCTTGTCATTTTAGTTCATGATAAAAAAAAATGCACGTATCTTATAGAAGCCCGCATAACCGAGGCCTCGAACAGAACAGCCTGCTATTTGTTTTCACCACTGCCATCACTCCAGCAGTGACCCCAGCACAGAGTATAGAAGGCAATACGTTTTGCATACTTCTCCCTGTTAAAAGAAAACCACAGCAATAAATTTACCATGACTCGTAGACAGTAAAGTATTTTTACTTTTTTTTTCTTTCAAGAAAGGCACATGCATATGGTTCAGGGACCCAATGCTCAAACCACGACTAAATTAGGTGAATGTGGGCACCTTGGTTCAATGTAACGGTCGTCACTGTCAACCCTCCAATTAAAAGAGCAGATGCGACCGGAAGATACTGCAAATTTTTGGGTTCTTATTAATTCCAGTACACTGTTTGGAAGAAAAATGGTAATGATGATGGTGTAAGGCAGGGGAAAATAAACAGCACATTATTTTTACAGTGCTATGTGTTCATGGAAGCCTATATTACCAATTGATAGCAGATGTCTTAATGCAAGAAGCTAACTGAGAAAGTACTTGTTGAAAAAGTACCAATCTGCTGCTTTCTTAGATAAGCATTATATGTTTTCTCTAAAAATACTTATTCCTGGAAATTCATCTATCGCCCCAAAGGCACTCAAAGGTCATTTCTAAGAGGGAAAGTCATTTGCTTACCGTAATGGAATCAAATCCGTTATGGAGGGTAGGAGAGGGACATCCCCTTTTGATAGTATAACGACCAATAATAAGATCCACAGCATCCTGGTGGGGCACAAAAGTAACGGTAAACTATGGCAATAGCTTGAAAATGCTTTTCTCTTTTTTTTGTGTTTTTGAATTTACCTGCCGAACTCCATCCTGGAAATTATTTAAGAAGTATCTCGAGAGGGCACTCATCCCATCTCTAATTAGTCCTAACATAGTCTGTTTCCCATATCTGCAAGTTTAAATGGATCAAAGTAAATCCAGTAATTATAATCGAATAAGTTTGTCTAGAACTTGGTCTCTGTTTGGTAGTCAAAAGTGGCATATTCTGCAACTCAGTAGAATAAGCAGGACAATCAGAATAAGTAGTTTTTTAGTTCATTATTTGGATGAAATGGATATTACACTATTACAGGCCACTTTTCCTTTCAAAAAAAAAAAGGATCGCGTTAAGTCATTTTAGCCAAATAACATTACCAAACAAGCTCTTTTAGACTACCTGACAAGATCCCCCTTTAAGGCAAATGTTCCAGAATATTCCAGACTTAATTCATCACCTTGTTGCACCCACACTGATAAGTGATAAAACAAGCTAGTCTGAGCACAGAAACATTACAAGAAATCTTCAATGCAAAAGAATATCAACCAATTAATGTTCGTACACGTTTTAAATGTTTCAAAATCTTCGTTAAACATAGAGATACAGTCAGGGGAAGAAATGGCTCCAAGTCTCTGCAGCTGAGAATTCAATGATTTCCTTGCCAGATAGCACTGCATGTGATACCAACCATTATAATAACAAGAACACTCCCCCACCCCACCCTCAAACAATCCACTTAATGTATCACAAGCAACGTTAAGGTCTACTTGTCACTTGGAAAATGCTAGTGAAAATATAGGAGAATTTAGAAGGAAAAAATTGTGAGGAACAACATAACACTTTTTAAAGTCAATAAACTTATTTTTTGTTGGCTGAAACATTTTATTTATCTATTCTACTTGCAGACAACGAAACTTAAACATATGTTAGATATTAGAATGTACATTACATTATTATGGAGTATATCTCATTTCCATTAGAATTTCTGTGGTAAAGCCACACACTATTCAAAGTCAATAAATTCATTTTTTATGCTGGTTTAAGCATTTTATCTATTCTATTATATGCAGACAACGAAACTTAAACATATGCCAGAAATTACAAAGTACATTACATTATTATATCTCATTTCCCTTGGAATTTTTGTGGTAAAGCCATACACAAGAAAATAATCTCCCATTACATTTATTTCATCTCCCTAGCAATTTTCAGGGACCCAAACATACCCTAAAATAGTGTGGTAGAGGAATGTATCAAATAAAAGCAGCATATTGAAAAGCTTCTTCAAACCTTTGTTACATTTGTTCGATCAAGGCAGTCAATGCAGTTAGATCTAATTATTCCTTTCTGTTCTGCTAGTATCTTTCCTTCTTCATCGACCAAGAAATATCTGCTCAGCTGGAATAGTAAATATTAAAAACTATATTATGGATGAGGAATGTACTCACAGAGGACATGTTCAACCATATTTAACATTCATTCATTACCCTTGCTTCTCAAAATCCTCTGAGAGTTGGTCATACAAAAGCTGTAGATTCTCAAAGTTTGAGCTCCCACATATGTGATGAAAATCAAATGACACGTATCTGAATCAACATAAGAAGGACATATTAAACTTGGAGAGAAAAGCTGAAAGCTGTATCACCACTTACAAAAAAAACAAAGACTGACAAGTAATCAATTAAAAGATAATTTTGACCAATCATGAGTAGCCGTTAAACACTCACTGCATTTCTTTAATATATCCTTAACCCTTACACATTATACTCCCTCCGTACCAACATAAGGTTCTAGGTTTGACCCAACACACTTATTAAGAACTGAAACTGTGGTTGAGAACTTGAGATTCATGAAGAGGAGAGAGATGTAATATGAGCAACACAATACTTTGCTCTAATGAAAAACAGGAACCTTTTTCGGGACATAAGGGAGTATCTGTTTTCATTCTAATGTGATACCCAGCATTCTGATGTGGTGCAGGCACCGCATAGCCTACCCAAGATTGTTTGCCACCCCCCCCCCCCCGCACCCCAACGTAATATTAAAAAATATACCATATACATTAATAAGACTAGATGTATAACATTCCAATAATTAATAACTAGGCCAAAACTAGAAAAGATCATCCTCCAAACGGTATTCCTCATGTGATAATCTAATGTTTGAAAAATAAATCATCCAATAGCATAGGTAGAGAACGGTAAATATTACCTCACATTTGAGAGCTTTTGCATCTCTGCAGCATAAGCTGCACTTAGTTTACCCTCATCACCATGCTGCAGGTCACGATAGACACAAATTTGAGGCACTTATATCTCTTAAATATTACTGTACTTACATATTTACAGACAAGAGTCCGATGCACTTTTGCAGACTTCTCAACATTTCAGGGGGGGGG